CACATAAAAGAATATAATACTTTGAAAGATATGGAAACATTTGGATGCCACGATTGCCATTTGCGATAATATCGTAGTACAAATCGTTGATAAACAGGGAAATAGAATTGGACTCACAACACATCCTTGTCTTAAGCCAACGGGGCAGTCGAAAAATCCAGTGAACTACATACGTATTGTGTACGCAGACGGAGTGCGAGGTACAAACACTTCACTGACACATTGGCACATATTCACTTGCTAAGATATTTCAATTGCATAACGCACCATACCGTCTGACTCTACTGTCTAAAAATACATCAGATCACAGGACCTGTCAAAAATGGGGTCAACTTCAATACTAAATCTCGTTCTTGGTTGGTTAGCTGCACACGTTTGCCCTGAGGACATGGAGTATGTAATGCACACAGTTTTCCTTTAATACTCATGTAATGAAATACCCCTGCCGAGTGTGAGAGTGTGCAAGTAGTGAAATATATGTACTATTGAATCGCCCTAAATCTTTCAAATATGTTAATTTATGTTTAATTCGTTTACAAAAAATTATGTTGGACTGCGTGCCCCTCCAGTGTCAAGGGGCATTGTTGCTGCATAGGTTTTTTATTACGATCGAACGTGTGTGTCAGACACGAAGTAACGTGTTACGAGGTTGAATATCTAACAAATTTTACAGCAGTCTACAGGAGCAGCGAATCCATACTGTCAACATTATGCCCTAAATATAGCTCCCTGTACCCTGTAACAATCACTTACCCTTAGTGGACGACCGAATCTTTAGCCAACACAAGCGTGGGCCTCATAAGCGACGTGTCCTTTCCGACATGACATTGGGTCTCAGTTTTCTATACACTTCCTGGTATCGAGTTGATGACTTTTTGCTGGTCCACTCAGCGCCCAGTTCATCTAGCGTGCTATAATGTCGATTGTCCGGCGGAATACCTGCAGTGGCTTCACAAAGCTGCTGTTGTGTGACGCCGAGTGTTCAAATAACACTCTTTAAAAAGAGGGAGTGAAACAGCCGAGTTTAAATACAAGTCCTAGTTGTAGGATCGGATCATGACCAAGCGCTTTCGACTGTATAAACTGAAACGGGTCACAGTGGCCCAAACCTAACATTTAAATGATCAGCTCTCATGTGACTATGTGTATCCCCTTGGCGCAGTCAAAGGTCAATATACAGGACGCTCGGTTTTCCTTACACCATTATAAGGAAGTATAGATACCTTATCATGTACCTGAGGATGAAATAACGAATCACTTCCCAGGAGCATGTTCTATATCTCGAAATGTCTAGAACTAATTTACAAATGAAACTGCTGTGTGTCGAGGGATATAACGCTATTAGTTAATAAGAGCAATGTTATTCCGGATTGACGAAGATTACTCTATATCTGTGTTGACCTTCTGAGGCTTTGACTTAATGGTAGTTTCATTTACCATTTAAATTAAACAAAGACATAACCTGTGTCTCATGCCTGTGAAATCTGACTAAAGAAATCATATCTGCTTTATTCCATGTGTGTATAATCCAACTAAAGGGAATGCGTGTCCTTTGTCCAATGCCTGTAAGATGCCACTGTAGGGAATACGTGTCCTTTGTCCAATGCCTGTAAGATGCCACTAAAGGGAATACGTGTCCTTTATCCAATGCCTGTAAGATGCCACTATAGGGAATACGTGTCCTTTGTCCAATGCCTGTAAGATGCCACTATGGGGAATACGTGTCCTTTGTCCAATTGCTGTAAGATGCCACTATGGGGAATACGTGTCCTTTGTCCAATGCCTGTAAGATGCCACTAAAAGGAATATGTGTCCTTTATCCAATGCCTGTAAGATGCCACTATAGGGAATACGTGTCCTTTGTCCAATGCCTGTAAGATGCCACTATGGGGAATGCGTGTCCTTTGTCCAATTGCTGTAAGATGCCACTATAGGGAATACGTGTCCTTTGTCCAATGCCTGTAAGATGCCACTAAAGGGAATACGTGTCCTTTATCCAATGCCTGTAAGATGCCACTAAAGGGAATATGTGTCCTTTATCCAATGCCTGTAAGATGCCACTATAGGGAATACGTGTCCTTTGTCCAATGCCTGTAAGATGCCACTGAAGGGAATACGTGTCCTTTATCCAATGCCTGTAAGATGCCACTGTAGGGAATGCGTGTTCTTTGTCCAATGCCTGTAAGATGGATCCCATGTTTGTACGATCAGATTAAATGGAATGCGTATACTTTATTTGCTGGTTGTAAAATCTCACTAAAGGGAATAGGTTACTTCTGTCTCATATCTGTGAAATCTGACTAAAGGAAAGACGTCTGCTATATTCAATGGGTGTTCGATCCAACAAAAGGAATGCGTGTCATTTAAACCTTGCTTGTAAGATGCCACTGAAGTGAATAGGTTGCCAGGTTGGGCGTTTTGCTTCATAGCTTGTCGTTCGTAGATCGTTGCTCATGATAATAATTGAATTGGCTACTTATATAGAGCGGAACTCCACGCCGCAGGGACATGTTCTTAGTGCATACAACACGATGGACTTTATTACCCGGGATAACCCAGGCTGCCTTTGAGGCGCTAGAAGGTTAATAGTCATATGACTTATACCAACGGGTACCCATTTTTCGCTCAGTGAAAAGAGACTATTTTGAACAAACTCACTAGCCTAAGGTGTGACCACATAGATGCTTCGTTGTGGAGCAGGACAGAAGTCCTAAAAACTCTCAGGAGTCAAGCTGTCAAACACGGCCACCCGTCCCATGACTCTCCGTGACCATCAGGGTTTCTTAACTTCACCTGATATGTGACCTGCGCTCTATACACAAAACCACATACCACACATGATTTCAGTCGGACAGAACAAATTATTTACACAACCGCGAATTAAACTGGAATAGAGCTGACGGCAACTCTCAACAACATTCACTCTACATATTATGTCAACACCGGATATTGAATCTTCTCTATGTTCAGTGTGTGTGAGCATGAGTAAACAATCTTCTAAAATATTCCACCCTGTTGTCATACACGACATCCAATGGGTCCTTTGCCACCTCCATTAATAGCCAAACGTATTTTACCTCACGCCTAACGTGAAAGCCGACTGAACGAGGATGACAATTTCTCAGCGTTACGTGTCAGGACGGATCCAGGGGCGGACACAGCTTTTTGCGAAGGGGGTGGGGGGTGCACACTTTGAGAAAAGGAGGGGTGCACACTTCGCACTCCTGTATCCCACTGTGTAGCATTGTCTAGCATTGCTTGTCAGTTTTAAAAACTACTATGCCCTGCTGACTAGCACTGGTTTCCTGTTCAAGAGGGAAAGGGGTTCCACTGTCAAGGAACGCTTTTTCTATTACACAGGGACACTGCACCACTGTCCAACACTGCTTCTATGTTTCCCTCTGTCCAGCAAAGTTTCTCTGTTAAAAAAGGAGAGTGTCCCACTGCCTAGCACGGGTTTTAAGTATAGGTTGAGACATTGTTAAGGTCATGTGTAGTCATTAGATGTTAGACTGGCATACAGGAAAACCCAGTTTGTGCTGACAATTCCATTAGAATGGTACCATTCTTATTTGAAGAGTTTCACTGTACATACTCCAGTTTTTGAGCCGATAAATTTATCAACTAACAAACTAACTGTAACTAATAATTAAAGGCACTATATCACACCGCACTTCTCTAAAAAAAAATAATGCACTTCCCTCAATAATGCTAACTATCAGCCATCAACTAATCCAAAAAATATCATGAATTTAGATTATAATTTAAATTAAAAAGTGCTAATGAATTAATGCAACGTTGCATTAAATCGACTCTCGCGCCCTCCACCGGCCGAACATTATTTCAAGCAAACCCCATAGAGTTATGTCCCTTGGAACGCTCGGCAAACTTCGACAACACAACGTGCGACAGTTTTCGATGTGCGGAGCAATTATCAAGGAAGTTAGAAAGTCGTGGTCAATGCTGTCCCAACATAGGACCACCTCTTTTTTCTTTTCAGCAATATTTGTCAGATTTTTCTTATTGACACTTTCCTTCATAAGTCCCCAAACATTTTCTATTGAATTTAGGTCAGGGCTATAGCTTGGCCAATCTAATAATGTCATATTTAGGGTCCGAAACCAGGCCTGTGAATGCTTGAACGAAGTTTGGGGTCGTTGTCCTGCTGGAAAATCCAAAAAAATCCATAGAACACGTGAGCAGATGGAAATAAATGTCCCTCGAGAATATCTGTGTACCGCTCACTGTTCATATTCCCTTCAAATGCCCCTAACACAGATACGCCACCCCACACGTTAAATTTCGGACTGTACTTTGGGCGCTGATACAAAGGTTTTTCAGTTTGTTTGATCCAGAATTTCAGTGTATTAGGAAACAGCCACACAGAACCTTCATCTGAGAAAAATCACATTGTCCCAGTTAAAATTTCTATGCTGTAAGCACCAGTTCAACCTTCGCTCCTTTTGTTCAGGTTTCATGATCGGTGATGGAATTCCTCGACTTTTCTGCCAACCCATTGCATGCAGCTCAGTTCTAATTGTCTCCTTACAGACAGCCACAGTTCCTCTATCAATCATATCCAGCCTTAAGTTTTTTAAACTCCTTCGTTTGATTTTAGAAACAAGAATACTAAGCCGCCTCCGGTCAGCATATCCATTTGCAATATTTTTCAAAACACGATAAACAGTGGACAAAAGGATGCCTGTTCTACTTGAATACACTTTAACTGATCTGATGTCCTTGTTATAATACTCTTAAATCAACTTTCCCTTCTCTAAATCATCCATACTGAGGATCACTGAAAATGTCGTCTGCTAGCAAGTAAACAACGTGGGATAACTCTTCACAAACTAATGAAAAATGATTAACGGAATTGTCTCTCTTGAATGAAACCAAACACTTGATAGCTGGTCAAGGTTGTTTATACTAGAAATCCAATTAAACATATTCCTAAAGTTCTCAATAATTTCTGGTCATACAATACATGTACACCCTTGGAGCTTGTTGGCGAATCCATTCATATTTTCATAAGTAATTATGCTTAAACCAAATCATCTATCTGCGATTGTCCAACGCATGGACACATATCACAGATTGCATGACAATTATCACATATCAAACTTTAAAGATATTAAAGAATATGAGAATGACCCCAACCACAGCCCGCTATTAACATATTTAGTTTTGAATTTGTGAAAATATTGACATTCGAGAAACCGTTCTGAGCTTCGGAGTATTTACTAACAAATTATCGTTACGTTGAATATGGAAACCAGGGAAGATTCGGATAAGAATTCTTTTTCAGAAACTTATGCTTGTCCTAAAAGGCGACAAACAGGATCGGGTGGTGCACTTCATTGTATCATAACTTGAGTAGATCGATGATCATAATATCAATCACTGGATTGTCTGATTCAAACTCGATTATTTACAGATCACAGTCATATAGCTACAATATTGTTGAGTGCGGCGTTAAACAACAAACAGACAAAGCATACTTAAAACATTCACTCCCTTAGGTTTAGCCAGGTCATTTGTATATAATTATGTGTAGATTTGTGAAAAAAGTCTTTGAGTGCCTCTTTATACTTTATTCGTCGCTGTAGATTTTGTGCCCGCGTGCTGCCTGGAATTACAAATCTATAAATATAATGCAGGCATGGAAATTGAAAACCACACAGAGGGTAATTAAGCAAAGTGTTGATTAACTATTGGGGTACTTTGAAATGTCCCATGCACTTCAAAGGTTTTTTAGATTATGGTGGTTTATTTTGAGTATTTTACACAAATATAGCGTATCTGAGAAACCCTGAAATAAAAAAAAATATCCATTGCAACAAAAACCTGCGCAGAGCACAAAACACCGTACAAAATATGACGATTAGACGATTACCTGTTACAACCCCCACCCCAAAATACACCAATAAATCAACAAAAAGCGTTTCGTTCTCATTTGGTTGTGAATTCAGGCGGCGGCTGCAATGTCTAGTCTGATAATGTTTGTTACTGAATATCGATTGTTAACATGCTCTTAACAACCTTGCCTCTCCCTTCTCTTTTCCGATTGGAGTTTGTCTCTGTCTCTCATTGGATAATAATGTACTTTCATCTCCGATTGGGCAAGTGGTAGGCACTGGCCTGTGATTGGCTAATCCACTGTCACCGTAATAGTTTGCGACAGTTGAGAGGAACTTTTCTTCAGACTGTAGCTCAGTGCCCTGAAAAAGATATATGTACATGATATTATACTTGTGAATAATATAGAGCATGGACAGCAAATAATGCCTAGCAACTGCAAACAGGACCGCCGTTTATGACGGAAGACTTTGGTTTCATGAAAAAAAAAAAAAATAATAATAATAATAAAAAAGAAATTTCCACAAAAAAACAAAAAACACAAAAAAACTGCAAACAGGAGGTACAGAAATAAAGGTAAAGGTTTTCACGTCCCATGTCAGCCGATACTGTTCCCAGTACATATACTTCACACCTTGAACTTATCTACAACAGACGCTGCTAATAACAGCAAAAATGGATATACGACTTGATAAACTCATAAGGAGTTGTGAATTGTGGAATTGTAAGCTATACATTTAAAGAACAATTACGTTAAAAAGGTTTGAAAACTGGAGTGAAAGGCTTTTCTTTTGTGTATTGGTGTAGAAAGAGTACTGGGAAGCGGCCCCTGTGAACGGGTTGGGACCCGTGAAGACCCGGGTTGGAAGTGATCTTTAGCAACCCATGCTTGTCGTAAGACGCGACTAACGGGTTCAAGTGGTTAGGCTCGCTGACTTGGTTGTCACATGTCATCGAATCAATGTTAGATCAATGTTCATACTGTCGATCACTGGATTGTCTGGTCCAGACTCGATTATTTACAGACCGCCGCCATATAGCTGGAATATTGCTGACTGCTGCGTTACAATCTGTATGTGAATATCAACACATGTATTTAGCTAGTGATACAGGAACAGATGTGGTCTTACCCCAGCATCAGCACAGTGATGAAGATGACACCGGCGAGAATGACGAAGATGAGGCCGGGGAAAAACGAGAGTGACGCCTTGTAGATTACAGTAGCCGCGATACCGAGAACTGTCGACGCCACCATCTCCATCGTACTGACAGACGCGAACATCGCCCCTGCAACAGCATAAATAAAGGTAATATTAATGTTGATATCGACATGCGTTTCTCATGTTGTTTAGTCTAGTTTGAGAAGGATCACTCCTACCCTGTCTCATATTATAACTGTGGAAAATATCCGTGAAGACCCGGGTTAGAGTTGGTCGAACTTTGATCGGCAGTGTACCTAGGCGCATTCAGTCGTGAATTGCAGGGATAGGCGGTCACACAAAGTACGGAAAATACACTTTGACTGTAAGAGAATCATATTCAACATATTTACATATTTAAGTAAAACTTCTAAAGTTTATATACATGTATTAGCTATGTATGTTCCTTGAAACGCCGTGAGGTTGAGCTGGAACTCTCCCCACATATTCCTGTATTTGTTTATTATGTATTGTATAACCAAGATAAGACATTTGGACAAAACATATTTCTTCGTGTTAATTCTGAGCTAGTTCCCCAGTTAACTCACAGAAAAAGGCACAGGAATTTAACTTACTTTACTGTATGCTGTGGCATGGTGTAATTGTACCTGCTCTGAATCGTTGACCACTACTTCATGTGAACGATATAGTTGTCTAAGAGTGTGAACGTTTCTTGTTTGGCTGGGTATATTCAAAGACAATTTAACAATAGAAATCAAAATACATGTATGTTCATATCAGAGGTGAAATAAGTCTATGCCTCCTTATGGTTACTTAGCTTTACTTTAAGATGTGTAATTTAGCTGGTGGCAGTTACACATAACAGCATACAAAATGTATTTAGAGATCTTTATTTCCATTACACTCAATGCGTGAGTCACAGTCACATCACAGTTTGATAGATCACTGACCTTGTTCATCAGGTGAGACGAGTTTTGACATCACTGACCGCATCATAGCAGGTGCTGCTTCACTGAAGATCCCAAACGCAGCCGCTGAAGTTTAAGTATAGAGGTGTAACAAACTGGCAGATATCCATACCTGTTAATTCTGAAGAGCAACAATAATTGAAGAAAAATCAGTTATGATCAAAACTCATACCTACGATGACGAGGACACTACTCTGAGCGCATCCTAAGAGAGCGAGGAACAATACGTTGGAAACACATCCGATAATTGCGATGGTGACTTCCGAAAATCGGCGCAAAAGGAAGTACGTTAGTCCAAGTATGCAGATCCAGTCGATGATGGTCCTCGCGGCAGTATAGCCGGTGATTTGGATCTTACCCCAGCAGAAGGGCGTGGCCAGGAGGTACAATGTCAGCACCGTGGCCTTGATGAGCTCCACGGAGAAGGACGTAAAGAAAGTCATTAAAGACACTATCAATTTCCACCGCCTTTTATCCGGAGTGTCTTTGGTATAAAACTGTATGCTTCTTTTCAATAATTTGAAATGTTCCTTGACTGTAAGGCTTCCTTTGGGTAGATCTCTACGCGTTTCTGGAAATATAAATATTGTAAAGAGGAGAGTTGCACTAGATAGTGCGATCAAAAAGTATAACGGCTGTTTAAAGTTATCCTCCTCTGTCCATATTCCTGCAACTAAAGATCCCGATGCTGAGCCCAAGCTCATCACTGCCTGGATTACAGCCATCCTGAATCCTCGCTTGGATCCCACGGGTGTAATGTCGGCTGCACATCCAAATATTGCCGTTAACATCGTCCCAAATCCACCCGAGAAGCCCTCGATTGCATTGCCTATGAACAGATATCCGAGAGGTAGGTCCAGTTCAAACACGAAGACATACACGATCAGTTTGGATAGAAGTCCAGAAATGGGCAAAAGCATTGACAGTTTCCTGCCATATCTATCAGACAAGGACCCAAGAAGGATTGTTTGGAGGATTCCAGGGAATGTTGAGGTAAAGATGAGGAATATAGTATAATCAGCAGCTTTGCTCTGTATCTTGGCCTCGAGTTTTGCGTCGGACGAATTATCTGCCCCTGGACTGCATGGATCGGCCGTGGTTTTGTTGACTCCGCCATAGCCTTCTGCTATTTTGTCGTACATGTAGAATTGTATGAGGGGCAGAGTCATTACAATGCAGCATATGTATCCAAATGCGACCGGCTCCACGGGAACATACCACCTGAGTGGAGGTGACCACATGCGGGACTTGCCTTCATTTTGGATCAGGGATGTGCATTCGTCTGGAAATAATAAAGTCAGTTCAAGAACGACAGCTACGGGAAAACTAAAACAAACCAGGTATGAATGACAACGTAAAACATGGTAGAGAGAAGGCAGACTGCTGGCTATGTTAATTGGTTTCACTAAAGCTAAACTTCACACTCATACACTCACAGGCCCGTGAAGATCCGGGTTAGAATTGGTCTTCGGCAACCAATGATTGTCGTAAGTGGCGACTAACGGGATCGGACGATTCATGTCATCGTATCCCAACACCTAGTCTTGTCTTTCTTTAGAAGTGGATTCCTTTCTTAAAAATGTTAAAAATCGTTTGTATCAAGTGTACTCTTTTTTGCAGCATGTCTTCCAAGCTGATAGCAAACGTCGTAAACAAAACAAATGCTAAGACATCATTTCGAAGGCTGTTTGAGCTGCCATTGAGTGGTTCAATGTAATTACAGGATACGCGGCATACGCGTCTAGATTCTAGGTATGAATGTTTATCCAACAACCCATGCTTGTTAATAAGCGATTAAATTGTTCAGGTGGCCAAGCGCAGTATTGCTGATTGTTTCATTACAAACGGGATGAAATGGGAACAGAACTCCGAGTCAACGACATATGTCGATCCACAATCAGCATCATCTTGGGAAGATTACGTTAGGCGACTTTGACCACTTCTCTAGATGCTGCGAGTCCCAAATATCAGATCAATAAAAGCAATCGTGGGGTTTAACCCACGAACAGCGGATGCCTGCACCATATTTGGTTTGGACTCCACAGCTTCTCCAAAGAGAAAAATAGTCCCAACTCCTAATCCGTAAACAGGTCATCACTATCTTGCCTAGTCATGAATGTCGGAGACAGATATTGCCAAAGAGATTCACCTTCCTCTGTAGTCTCCACTTCAGTCGACCCTCTAATTGGGTTCGGGACACCATGAAGTTTCTCCACAAGGTCTTCTGTATGGGCCGGCATTGTGAGAGTTTTCCAGGACGTGTTTGACTCTCTACATGCTCTGAGTCATAGTCTGCAAGTGAAGAAAATGTTGTAGTGTACATCATATATTAGGTAAAGTCAAAGGATTTTGAGAATAACAAAGCGGCACCAAATGCGTATATTGTGTTTCAGTGCATACCGACTTATGTCAAACTGTATATCAACATTAAATGGTAGCGTACATGATCAGGTTATACATTCACTGACAAGCTTGAAGAAATGAATAGAAGTTAAGTGGAAACGGTTCCAGTTGCACTATAGCTGTTTTTGCTAAATGGACTACTCACATGATACAGTATCATCCAAGATGTCACATAGAATTGTGTGCTTCCCTAGACCAAGCGCTTTACATAAGCGAGTTCTGCCCTACACCCTGTGATGTAAACATCATGTGGCTCCACAGATGCTACATATAATCGTGTGTTTCTATAGATCCAGAGTTGCACAGACTTGTCTACTTCCCTAGACCAGACGTTTTACATCAGCCAAGGACACAGAATCTGCGTTGCACAGAATCATTTGGTTCCATAGATCCAGTATTGCATAGAATCATGTGATTCAGTGGATCCAGAATTCGACAGAATCATGCGCTGCCTTAGACTCAGCGGTAGGAAGAATCGCTTGCTAGAAAATCAGAAGGCCTTCAGTGCTCATAGAATCAACTGATAGCAGTGGTTGGATCATTTTCTTTAAGAAATTTTGTGTTTATTAAATGTACACCCATCCAATAATTAAAATTGACCATATAGTTTAATATTTAGTGCTGTCTTTTTTAACCATGATGACTTATGTTGAATGTGACCACATACATCTTCAAGCGGTTACAAAGATGGTTTCATAGAACCAGAGTTGCACAGAATTGTCTACTTCCCTCTAGACGAAGTGTTCAATAGAATCGTGTGCCTCACCGAGACCAGGACCTACAAGCGAGTGCTACTTCCCTGGACCTTGACTGCCTCCCTTAGAGTTTGGTAGTACATGTAGAATCTGCTGCCCTTGACTGAAAGTACATAGAATCAAACATAGCTGCCCTAGACTCAGTGGTACGTAGAATCGTCTGCTGCCCTAGACTCAGTGGTACGTAGAATCAGTGTGAAATTTGCCCTAGACTCAGTGGTACGTAGAATCGTGGCCTGTAGCGAGCACTTCCCTGTACGTAGAGATCATGTGCTTGACTACAGGTAGTACATAGAAGATGTTCTGCCCTAGACTCAGTGGTTCTTAGAATCGTCTGCATGCCCTAGACTCAGTGGTACTAGACTCAGTGGTACGTAGAATGCTGCCCTAGACTCAGTGGTACGTAGAATCGTCTGCTGCCCTAGACTCAGTGGTACGTAGAATCATGGGCTGCCCTAGACTCAGTGGTACGTGGTACGTTTTTTAATTCTTATTGATGCTTTAAGATCAGACTATGAACACATGTACATGCAACAACAGATAATAGCTTAGGTACTTAAAAATATGTGTTACAAAAGATATCAATGGGACAATATTGTTTTGTGTAACCTGTAGAGGCCTGGCGGTTATGGGAAATAATACACTTTGTGAGGAAAGTGAATCAGTTTATTGCAATAAAAGGCAAATCTATCTGAACACATAACACCCAACAGACATTCATAAAAGCAAACTTAATGGCCGCCACCTGTTCTTGGTAAGAAAAAAACCATATTCCTTTTGTAAGCGCCAGGATTAAAGCATCGGTTTAAGAAATAAGCGACGGGCCTCTAATAAACCCCGGGTCTCTAATAAGCGCTGGGTACGTTTTGGGCGCCGTTTCCGAAGCATAACTTAAGAACCGTTCAATATTTTTCAACAGAACTTGGTAGATATATCAAACAGAACCTTAAGTGGTGCCTTTTGCTATTTGCAGATTTTTGGCATTTTTATTTTTCCCGGTTTCCATGGAAACGATTCGGACTTAGTCCCAAAAGGGATGGGTGGGCTTCGTTTCCGGAGCATAACTTAAGAACCGTTCAATATTTTTCAACAAAACTTGGTAGATATATCAAACAGAACCTTAAGTGGTGCCTTTGCTATTTGCAGATTTTGGGCATTTTATTTTTCCTGGTTTCCATGGAAACGATTCGGACTTAGTCCCAAAGGGAGGGATAGGTTTTCATTTCCGGAGCACAACTCAAAACTTCTTAATATCTTTCAGTAAAACTTGGCAGATATGTGAGGCAGATCTTGAAGTGGTGCCTTTTGCTATTTGCAGATTTTTGTCATTTATGTTTTCATGATTTCCATGGAAACGATTTGCTCTTAGTTTATAAATGTATTCTCCCTTGATCCAAAAATAGATGCATTAAGGAATGGTACCTTTAGTCATAACTTCCTGTCCTCCCCATTGTACGGGTTGGTTGATGTTATGTAATAAACGCTGGGTCTTCAATAAGCGCCGGGCCTCTAATACGCGCCGGGTCGGGAAGTCTGTTGAAAATATAAGTGCCCGGGCACTTATTACAGGAAATACAGTACGTCCTTTGAATTCCTTACAGTCATGGTGACCACACGAGAGCCAGTGACCTACATACGTAGAGTGTACACAGAGGGTGTTGGAGGTAAAAACACTTCACTGACACATTGGCACATGTTCACTATCTAAGACATTTCAATCGCATAACGTACCATACCGTCTGACTCTACTGTCTAAAAAATACACCAGATCACAGGACATGTGGAAAAGGGGGTCGAAGTCTAGTTTTAATCTCGTTCGTGGCTGTATAGTGTGCACACGCATAACGTGAGGATACGGAGCTCTGTGGTGTACATAGCTTTCGTTAATATACTCCTTAAATAAAATACCCCGAAAGAGTGTGGAATGGTTCAAGTGCTGTAATACATGTATTACTGTATTAATTACCCCTAAATCTTTCAGATGTGTGAATGTATGTTTAATTCGTTTACAAATGTTGGGCTGCGTGAGTTTACAAATGTTGGGCTGCGTGACCCTCCACCGTCATTGGGGCATTGTTAAATAGCTTTTTATTACGGTCGGGATTGTATGTGGCATAATGATTCACACCTTCCACGAAGTATCGTGTTACGTGGTTGGATATCTGACAAGATTCACGACAGTCTACAGAGCAGCGAATCCATACTGTCAACATCGATAATGCCCTAAATATAGCTCCTTGTACCCTGTAACAATCACTTACCCTCAGTGGACGCCCGAATCTTTTGCAAACGCAAGCGTGGACCTCATAGGCCATGTGTCCTCTCCGACATGACATAGGGTCTCAGTTTTCTATACATTTCCTGGTATCGAGTTGATCACTAAATGCTGGTCCACTCATCAGCGCGTCACTTCATCTAGCTTGCAATAAGGTCGATTGTCCGGCGGAATACCTGCAGTGGCTTCACAAAGCTGCTGTTGCGTGACGCTGAGTGTTCTTAACGACGCTCTTTGAAAAGACGGAGTGCAACAACCGAGTTTATATAGAAGACCCAAATGTATGAAAAGATTATGACCAAGCGCTTTCAACTGTATAAACTGAGACGGGCCACAGTGGCCGAAACCTAACATTTAAATAATCAGCTCTCAGGTGACTATGTGTCGCCCCTTGGCACAGTCAAAGGTCACAACATAGGACGCTCGGTTTTCGTTACACCATTATAAGGAAGTATAGAGACCTTATCATGTACCTGAGGATGAAATAAAGGATGAGTTCCCATGAGCATGTTCAGTATTTCGAAATGTCTAGGACTAACTTATACTCATGCCAATAATGGTTGTCATCCCCCTTCTGAGGCTTTGACTTAATGGAAGATAACTTTCATGTTAATTGTCATCCACCGAAGAGGTTACCTGTTTCTCATGCCTGTGAGATCTGACTAAAGGAATTATATCTGCTCTATTGGCTATTTATACATATTCCAGGAAATTTGGCAATTTATGATGTAAAGATTTGTTTAAAATATTTGATGCTACAGTTGTACCTATTCTCTGTTATGGGCCAGAAATATGGGGTGTGAATTACTGAAAAAGAGGTGAAAGTGTACGGATAAAGTTATGTAAATGGATACTTAAAGTTGGTAAAAGTACTACAAATAATTTGGTTCTAGGGGAATGTGGAACAATTCCTCTCCAGCATATTTGTCTGACAAGAGCAGTTAAATATTGGTATAAACTTATTAATTTAATGACAATAGATTACCATTTCAGTGTTATAGCATGATGTTAACAGAGGATGAGAGTGGAAGAGTAAGTTGGGTCACACACACATAAAAAAAATCTGTTTCAATTTGGATACCTGCTCGTTGTATACCTGGGTAACTACAGTTTCCGATATTTGAACCTCAAATCTGAGTTTTCTCAACATTCGGGTTTCAGGATTTGAATCCCAAATCTGAATATTTTGTTCGCATTCGGGATTTGAATCCCGAATCTGAATTTTCAGATTCGGTATTTTGCACATTCGACACTCGACATTCGGTATTTGAACTCTAATATTTCATCCCCTTCTAAAGTACTAGGTGCTCGTTGTATACCTGGGTAACTACAGTTTCCGATATTTGAACCTCAAATCTGAGTTTTCTCAACATTCGGGTTTTGGGATTTGAATCCCAAGTCTGAATATTTTTTTCACATTCGGGATTCGAATCCCGAATCTTAATATTTTTTCCATATTCGGGATTCGAATCCCGAATCTGAATTTTTCAGATTTGGTATTTTTGCACATTGACACTTTACAGGTATTTGAACTCTTTTATTTCATCCCCTTCTAAAGTACTAGGTGCTCGTTGTATACCTTGGTAACTGTTGGTCATAGTGTATTTGAACCTCAAATCTAGTTCTTCTGTGACAATAGGCAGTTTAAGGCATTGCTCAATGTTGAATTGTTTCTCTTTAGATTAAAGGTACTGGAACTGATGTTTGAAAACAAATTCTGAACGATTAAACTTCAATGAACGATAAAAATCAGTGAAAATTGGCAAATTTTAAAGAAAACTTTGCACCAAAACGCAACTGTTCATAAGCACGATATTTGCACATGCAATTCAGCAATTTCATGCATGATCCTCGTGCAATTCATCTGCATAAGGTTTGAAGTTGGTTCCCCGAAGTTAGTTGAGAAATCTATCTTCGATATAACCATATATATACATAACATATAGTGAGTGTTTTAAGTGAGTCTAAACTTTCGATGGGAACTATATTAGGACAGCCATGTCAAGATTTAGATGTGGTAATTATGGACTTTCAATAGAAAGAGGACGTTATAATAATATTGATGACTTAATTCGAATGTGTCCCTTTTGTTTCAAGGAAAGTGTTTCATCTAACTGAAGATGAGCATATTTTACGTGTGTGTAAACAGTATGATACCTTAAGAAGTATTTACATAGCAAAGCACTTTAGATCAGCGTCATTTCAGGCGTTTATAAGCATTATGTCATCAGATAATTATAATCTTATTCATAATACTTGTCAGTATTTACATAAAGTTTATATACATAGACCTGCACTCTTAAATTCATTCAAACATAATATTCTCTTCTTAGCAACATTTGAAACGTGTACCACACTTTCTTGCACATGGTTGCACATCTGCCTCTATATTACCGGTAAGCATATGTTAACAAAATCAAGCTGCATATGTAATAAACGGAATCTAATCATGTATTAAATGCACTTTATTCATGTGATGCCAGTGATATTTGTGGTTCATTAAAACATATATATGCCCGATTTCGGTGTTGTAATTTAAACAGCATTTGAAACTGGTGATACATTAATGTTGTACATAATTCTTGCATTATGTTTTGTAAACATCTGGCTTCGTTGTTGAAGATGAATATTACCGGTATGCATATGTTAAGAAAAATCAAGCACCTGTTCTGGGCCTTGGGCCTATTAATTTTATATCTATACTGTAATAAAGAAATCGGAATCTATATTCCATGTGTGTCCAACTAAAGGGAAATGCGTGTTCTTTATCAATACATGTAAGATGCCACTAAACTGTTACTGAAATAAAATTCTGTTCTGTTCTGATCTGGAATAGGTTACCTGTATTCCATGTTTGTAAGAACCCACTAAAGACAATACGTGTCCTTTATCGAATAATTGTAATATGCCACAGTATAGAATACGTGTCCTTAAGATGCCACTAAAGGGAATAGGTTATCTATATGGCATGGTAGTAGGATCGCACTAAAGATAATACGTGTCCTTTATCCAGTGCTTGTAAGATGCCACTAAAGGGAATAGCTTAAATATATTTCATGTTAGTGAGGACTCACTGAAGATATTACGTGTCCTTTATCCAGTGCTTGCAAGATGCCACTAAATGGAATAGTTGTGCTTTATCCAATGACTGTAACATTCCACTGAAGGAAATACATTACCTGTGACACATGCCTGTGAGATCTGGCTAAATGAAACTTGTGCACAATATTCCACGTGTGTACAATCTCACGAAAGGAATGCGTGTCCTCTATCCCCTGCTTGTAAGATCCCAGTGAACTGAATATGTTGTCAAGCTGGACGTCTTGCTTCATCGATTGTCGGTCGTAGATCTTTGCTCATGATTTCAGTCACTGGTTCGTACAGAAACGAATATTTACATTCCCGCGGGTTAAACTGGAATAGAGCTGACGGCAACCCTTAACAACATTCACTCTACAGTGCCGGAAATTAAATCAGTGTTGTATGTTCAGCGTGTATGAGCATAAATTATCAGTCCTGTTCCAACCCCTATTCAACCCTGGTATCATATACGACATCCAGTGGGTCCTCGGCCACTTCTAACATACCCAAACGTATTCAACTCATGCCTGATGTGAAAGCCGACTTAATGAGGATGACAATTTCTCACCTGTCTGATTGTGACATATCCTGCGATCAATCACTTGTTTACTTATCAACACCTGCTTATCTACACAATTTTTTACTTCTTTATGCGTTGTGACTGGATTATTTTTTATCTCCACGTCGAATCCATTTATATCTGAAACAACTTTCTTGGCGGGTTTTGTCTAGGTTAATTATGCTAAATATACAGAGGACAATATTCTAGGCGGATTCAGCTAGATTATCAATCTTGATTGATAAATCTAGGTCTGCTTCTCTGTTGACAGAGGACAATGTCCCACTGTCTAGCACTGCTTTCCTGTAAACAGGGACAGTGTCTATCTGTCTAGCATCAGTTCCTTTTAAAAGTGACTGTCTAGGTCTGCTTCTCTGTTGACAGAGGACAATGTCCCACTGTCTAGCACTACTTTCCTGTAAACAGGGACAGTGTCTATCTGTCTAGCACCAGTTCCTTTTAAAAGTGACTGTCTAGGTCTGCTTCTCTGTTGACAGGGACAGTGTCTATCTGTCCTAACAGGGACAGTGTCAGTTCCAGTTCCTTTAAAAGTGACTGTCTAGGTCTGCTTCTCTGACAATGTGACAGAGGGACAATGTTCTTTTTAAAAGTGACTGTCTAGGTCTGCTTCTCCGTTGACAGAGGACAATGTCTGTCTACTGCTTTCCCAATCTATCTGTCTAGCACCAGCCAAAGGTGACTAGTTCTAGGTCTGCTTCTGTTGACAGAGGACATGTCCCACCGCCCAGCACTACTTTCCTGTAAACAGGGACAGTGTCTATCTGTAGCACCAGTTCCAGTGAAGCTTCTCTGTTAAAACCAGTTCTTTTTAAAAGTGACTGCCATACGTAGACAGGGACAGTTTCTAGCACCAGTTCCTTTTAAAAGTGACTGTCTAGGTCTGCTTCTCTGTTGACAGAGGACAATGTCCCTCTGTTAAGATGGCCAAAGGTGTCCACAAGATGAAGCCAAAGTAAAAATTGCCATACGTTTTGCGTCATCAAAACGTTCATTGAATTGGATTTTTTTTCATGGGTATCTTGTTTAGGTTAGCATAGTATATTTTGATGTGAAGTCGAGCCCGATAATTTAAACGTCAACCCTGCTGATTTTACACCGCATAAATCCACCAATGGTCCCAAATCCTAGAGTCTGGTGGAGGAAATAGATACAACCCATAGCCTTGATTTTGGAAATTGAAGCAGTGCAAGGGTAAATTTATTGCACAGCGTGGTAGACGGTGAACAAGACAGCAACTGTAACACATCATATAAAATCGCAAAATATACATGCTTATAAAACGAGGAAAAGCCTTTATGTTTTTCAGTCAAAAGTAAAAAAGACACTCACAGAAGGCAACGTTGACAGGTAAACTCATGGTACAAGGTTAACGAACATTTCATGTTCAGGTACTTCAGTTATCATTAAATCACGAAACACGAACAACTTATAACATAGAACACAACTGGACAACAATTGCCGGACTCGCAACACGCCATGTGGACAACAAGGTCATTACACTGTACTATTGTGAGTAAATCATCTCTCTCCGATGTGATATTGTCCAACACATGTACACATATCACAGATTACATGACAAATATCACACATCTAACTTTTAAGAAGTTAAGGAACATCAGAATGCCCCCAACCACATCCCGCTATAAACATCTTATTCTGAAAAAATTGACATGCATAGAGACATT